TATTTATTTGTGCTTATAGAACTGGGGTACAGGCCAGAGGCTCAGGGGCGGTGAGAGGCTTCACCAGAGACAGAGTGGGGAGCAGAAAAGGCAGATCGACGAAGTACATTGCTGAGGGGAGCAGCAGGCAGGTCAGCAGAGGTCTGCCGCGCCATGTGGTCACCTCCGGGGGCAGGCGGGAATTGAACTCATGCGGAAGTGGTTTTAGCTTCTTAGTGCTATGCTTTAACCCGCTGTACCACCAGGGAGGGCCAGGATTTAGTTTTAAAGAAGGAATAAAATCCAAACATAAGCCCCACAAAAATCTGAGCAACTGTGAAGTAGCTCTTCACTAAACCTAGGTTACTTTCTAATGAGCACACTTCAAAGTACATGCTGAGTTAATGAAAAATTAGTTCTAACCCATTAAAAATGCATTCGATGAAAATAAATTAATATTCTCAAGTATTACATTATAAATTGAGCAGAAATTATATCGGGTGTGCTTTCTGAAAGAGAAGCAGTCGGTGAAAGAATGGAGATTAGTAGTTGGCTTTCTGACATCTTGGATCCTGAATCATAATTTTCGGCTGAAATACTTGTGCAGAGGCCAGAATGCTCCCTGTGGGAAGGAAGTCTCTGTGGATGTCAGAGACCAACAGAGGCTTTTGCCTGTATTTGAGCAGGCTCACAGCGCCACTCAGTAGGAATCAACCTGGTACATTCCAAGAATAAACCTTCCAGTTGAACAAGTGCTTTACTGGACAAGCGTCACAGCACCTGAAAAACTACAGCTAAGTACAACACTGCAATATATTACCCTTTTACCCATTAAAAATATATCCAAATGAGGGGCCCTCCCTGGTGGCGCAGTGGGTTAAAGCACAGCACTGAGAATCTAAAGCCGCTTCCGCATGAGTTCGATTCCCGCCTGCCCCGGAGGTGACCACATGGCGTGGCAGACCTCTCCTGACCCTCCCGCTGCTCCCCTCAGCAGTGTACTTCGTTGATCTGCCTGTTCTGCTCCCCACTCTGTCTCTGGTGAATCCTCTCACCCTCTGCATCTCTGGCCTGTACCCCAGTTCTGTATGAATAAAATAAAAAAATATATATATCCAAATGGTCACATTGCCATGCACAGCATTGCACATGTAGGTAACACGCATCCTCCTCACACGCATGCCTGGGTTCCGGCCTTGCCAGTCTCGGGCGTCTTGGATGTCTTCCTTTGAAAATTCTGCTTTGAGCTGACCGGGTTTCAGGGTGTTGTCATCTTCTGAATGATCCAGACTGAGCTTTATCACTTGCAGGTAGGATGCAGGAATACCTCAAAGATATTAATATTTGCGGGAAAAAAGAATATTCTGAGGTGTAGTTGATGGGGAGAGAGGCAACAGGGCAGCGCGTAGTGAGTGAATTTCCACTGGACCTTCCTGTTTGAGGGTCAACAGTGCGAGACGGCCTTCCCATAGTAGTTCAAGATGACAGTGGAGGTGTTAGCTTAATAATTTCATTTGCCAAATGCACCAATGTCTAAAAGGGGCCTCTGGCTTTGGAGAAGTCGCTCTTGCTTATTTACTCTTAGGGCCCCGTTTACTCCTCTCTCCAATCATCCGCCACACACTTGAGGCTCTTGTATGTACGTGTACCAGCTGTGTAGAAATAAATGCACGTGATGCCTGCACCCGGGACACTGTATGTTTTCTGTCTCCTGGGTCATTCTGGTCTTATCGGTCTGAGATGGGCTTGGTGGGTGGGCGGAAGGTCCCCCGTGCCTCAGGAAATTGCCTGGTGCACCACCTATGAGTAAAAGATACACAGAGAGAAATAGACATTAGAGCTAGGAATTAATGAGTATTAAAGCTGGAATGATACTACACGAGCAGCACATAATTCCAGTGTGTTTTCCTCGTTGCTATCTGGAAGCCAGAAACGAGAGAGCCGGCAACATAGGCTTGGGCCTTTGAGCCCAAGTTCTGCAGCTCCGCGTCAGCAGCAAGATGTTAAAATGGCATCAGCCCTCGGATGAGCTTGCTGTTAGATTTAGTGAGCATCAGATGACATTAATGAAACCAAAATTGCTAGAGAGATAAAACATGTTTATTGCCTGAGTGGTGCTGCGGGCAGCAAGTCAGCAGTGCTTGGCGGTTCACGCCAGGTCACGGCTCAGCAGAAATGTCTGCAGCACCAGCGCCACGGAGGGTGAGCCGCACGCTGCCCCAGAGCCGGGCGCTGTGTGGGGGCGGGAGGAATCCTGCAAAACGTCCGGCCTCACTGCTTCCTGGGTCTGTGTCTCCGCAGCTCCGTGCACCTGGAGGAGGCTGGCATCCTGCGGGCTGGCCCTGGAGGGCCGGATCAGCAGTGGCCGACGGTCTCCAGTGCGACACCAGGTAAGGTGTTCTGCCATCCTGCTTGGGTTCTGCACTGCAATCCAATGGCCTGTTTTCCTAAGACCAGTAATACCAATGACACTCTGTTCTTTCCTCTTCTGAATGCCACTGACTTCCTCACGTGATTTTCTACTTAATGTCCTTCAAGGGTTGATAAGCTCATGCATGGGTGTGTGGAAAGTTGTCATCACAATTAACCAGGTACCTTTCAGATGCTCAGTCTGTAGCCTCGTGGGCTGAGATGACACTGTAGGCAAAGACCTTTGGGTTGAAGACAATGGAGACAGCTATTCAAGTACTGAGCAAAATGGAGATTGATAGAAAAAAACAAAGGTTTCTCGTGGAAGTGTCAGTTATCGGTCTTTTTGACTTCAAGTCTGAGTCAGAGCTGGTTCTTTCTGAGCAGCCACGTGGTTCAGACTCACTGTTAGTCCAACACACACACCTTGGGGTTCCTGGCTCAGGGGATCAGTGAGGTCCAAGCCCCAATCTAAACTTTGGGAACAGAGACTAACAAGCTGGATCGAGAACTCACTGGTGCATAAACATTGGATAATTGTTTTAAATTCCCTCAATTCCATATTCTTTGTTTTTACATAGAAGAACTGGGGACAGGCCAAAGGTGTGGAGACTGGGGGGGCGGTGAGAGGATTCACCAGAGACAGAGTGGGGAGCACAACAGGTGGGTGGACCGAAGTACACTGTTGAGGGGAGCAGCAGGTGGTCAGGAGAGGTCTGACCCCTCTGTGGGTCAGCAGGGGAGTCACCTCAGGCCTTCACAGCGATAGTGCTGACACTTAATCCCAAGGCCACCATGGAGGCCCCCAGTTTTATATTTTTGCCCAGATGCCAAAGCAGGGTCATATGATGAAGATAAGGCTCTGGGGCTCATCCTGGAGCGGTTTTCAGAAAGAAAGGGCGGGCGATGAGCTCCACAGTGACTGCAGGTGGTGCCTGCCGCGGCCTCTACATCACGTGATGATAGGTAATAATTACTGGGCCATGACGTACCCAGACACTGTGCTAAGTACATTGCATGTGTTACCTCATTTATTCCTCACGACAGTATATCAAGAGATTTATTTTATCTATTTTTACATATGAGGAACTGGAGGCAGAGAGGTTAAGAAACATCCCCAAGGTCAAGGAGTTAATCAGTGGCAGGGTAAATGTAAAGCATGTGTGTCTAGCTTCAAGTCCAAGTGCATCTAGCACTTAAATTTATAGCATGGCCAATTTGCAAGAACACATCCAAATTCAGATACACACATACATAGATAACAGATGACATCAGTGTGTGTGTAAAAGTTCTTTCCAAAAATAATGAGGTGCCTTTCAAATGCTTCGGCTACCCTAGCAACATGTGCCCGTTTTTGCTGGCAACTCTAAGGGCTTTCATTGATTCTAATCAGCCAGCATTTGCTATTTATGAATGTTGCTTAATTCAAGTAAAAGTCACATTTGTTGAGGGGAAAAGGCCCACATAAAGCAATTCATTAGAGAGCGAATATTGCCAGATGGCAACGGGAGGGCTATACAGTAGTTCATTGACAAATCCACAACCCCAGTGCCAGCGCTGGAGTGAAGAAGTGATGGAGGAGGAAAGGCCTGGACTGCCCAGGACTGCGGGTGGGGCGTCTGAAAAGGTGACCACACTCCCAAAGCTGTGCCCTGGAGCCCGACTTCCTTTCAAGGGTGTTCTTGTTCTCCTAGAGGCCTGTAGCTCCATGTGCTGAGTCAAGAATGAACTCTGAGTAATTCTTTCTTTCACTGATGCTGGTGGTGCATGTCCCTAGGCAGATGTTAGGCAGAACTGTCTGCGATTATGTCGCCTGTCTCCAGCCCAGCTGTCTCCTTCGGATTCAGGTCATCAGTCAGAGGCCATCTTCTTGACGTGGATGGGGAAGGAGTCCCCCTCAGCCTCTCCCAGGGGGGTATCGTTCCCGCCCAGGGCTGTGTCTGGCTGCTGGTCATGACCCCTAGTCCTTTGGGGTGAGCCAGGTGGTCCCGGGGTTGACCTTGCCGTACTTTTACCACGCCAATGGTAGGAAGTTAAAGAGATCCCCTCTGCCCCTGCTTTGTCCCTTTGGCAGTCTTGGGGTTTAGGCCTCAGAGTATGTTCTGTACTTTGTAGAGGGAATAGGGTATAAAGATTAAGATGATGACTGCATGGAGTCAGTTGGTTTCTAATCCCAAACTTCCTTGCCTGGTTAGCACAAGCAAATTGTTTAAATGCATGTTTTCCTTCTTTCTTTCTTTTTTCTTTTTAAAGATTTATTTATGCATACAGAACTGGGGTATAGGCCAGAGGTACAGGGGCAGTGAGAGGATTCACTAGAGACAGAGTGGGGAGCAGAACAGACAGATCGTTGAAGCACACTGCTGAGGGGAGCAGCAGGCGGGTTAGGAGAGGTCTGCCACACCATATAGGTCACCTCTGAGGCAGGCAGGGACCGAACTCATGCTGAAGTGGCTTTAGCTCCTTAGTGCTGTGCTTTATTCCGCTGCGCCACCAGGGAGGGCCCTCTTTCTTTCTTTTTAAAAAAGATTATTTATGCATACAAGAACTGGGGTACAGGCCAGAGGTTTGGGGGGGGTGATGAGAGGATTCACCAGAGAAAGAGTGGGGAGCAGAACAGGTGCATCCCCTGAAACACACTGATGAGGGGAGCAGTGGGTAGGACAGGAGGGTTCTGCCACTCCGTGTGGGCCAGCTCCCTGGCTGAGGATTGAACTCACGCTGCAGTGGCTGCAAATAGCTTCATAGTGCTGAGACTTAAGCGCTTGAGCCATCAGGAAGGACCCTAAATTCGTGTTTTCTGAATGGCTAACTCTGAATTGGGTATAGTGATGATAAGGCCTAGATGGCTAAGTTGCCATGAAAACTAAGGAAGAAAGAGCTGAACTTCGGCTTGACATACGGGATTAATAAGTCTAGTTTTACTCTTTGTTTGTGGGACACTTGGGTGTGATCTTAACACATCTTCAACTGATGATCTGGAGCTCAGAATTCAGTGGCTCCCTATTCTAGGCCTGGGTTGAGACACTTTGAAGTTGTGCAGATGAGCCTGGCAAGCTCATGGTCCGGTCAGGTCAGCTGTCCTCCTGAGGGGATGGGATGGAGAAGATTTATTCATTCTCCGTAAAGAAAAGGAAAATGTATCCCCAAACAACCCAGTCCCAACAGAGTCTGCCTTCACTGATGCTTTCGCCCTGAGGACTCCCTGATGAAGGTTCAGGTGCTTCCAGAAGGCCCCTCCTATCTCTTCACACCTGAGTCCCTCCCACCACTGGCTCCTCAGACCAACACTGCCTGAGAGGTGGCAGGTAGGGGCCGACTGAGCCTCTCTCCCACATGTTCCTTGCGTGCATGTTTTTCCTCCGTGGAGAAATCCTTTGGCTTTTCCACCACGCTGTTCATTCATTTTCACCAAAGCATAGGATAAGAAGCCATGTTCTGAAGGGATTGATGGGGACGATACAGCGGACACTTCCACCACAAATAAGTCAGTCACTGTCGATTCATACTGATCACTGGGCTCTTTGTCCAGCTCTGTCCAGCTTCCCCGTGAGAGCAAATCCAAAGCAGGGGGCCTTAGCAGCTTCAGGTAAGACTGGGCATTGAAAGAAAATGAGCTGACCAGGGAGTGTGGCACAGCCACAGCTGCTGGTTGGGGTGTGTGTGCAGGCACGAAGAACCAATCCCTCGTGTGGTGACGCTGAAGTTTTCTGTGCAAATGCACTGGAGAGGTTTTAATGAGTGCCCCCCTGTAACCATTTCCTAGAGGGAACCCCAAGAGGTACTACAGGCTGCCTGCCTTCCAAGGGATTGGCCTGGCTTCAGGGTACCAGTCTACTGTCTTGTACTGGTTTTTCCAGGTTCCTCTTTTGACCATTCATGGGACGTCAGGACTTACCTAAGGTGACACCAGTTATTTTTGGAGTGACAGCTACTCACTCTTTTCCAAAGAGCTCTGGGGATTCCAAAACACACAACCTTGCCAAAAGTAAGGTTGTAAGTTGTCATGCAGGACCCCAGAGGAGCCCAGACTAAAGGTGAAAGATCAGTTAGGTGAGGCACCCACAGCTGTGAGACGGGCTGAGAGGCTTCCTGTAGAGTCCAGGCTGTGGTTCTCAGAGTACAGCTCCCCAGAGCAGCATGCCAACAGTACCTGCCAAATTGGAAATTCTCAACTTGGGGTTTTAACAAACTCCCCCAAGAGTCCCTGTTGTACCCTGAAGTTTAACAACTGGTCTAGAGTGGACAGTGAACATTCCTGAGATCTATTGTCATTAATGGCTCAAAAACCGTGTTGGGCAGGCCGTAGCTTCACATCTCATCTCTGGTCTTGCAAGAAGCAGGTGGCCTCACTGCTCAGCGGCCTTGATGGCCTGCAACCTCAGGAGGGGGCAGATCACCCCTCCCCCGAATTCAGGCTCTTCCATGCTGTAGTTCCACGTCCTAGGGACGTAGCTTACCTTTTCACACTACCCATTTCTTTCTCTATAAACTGGAGGTAATAGTAGCTTCTTCCTTCCAGAGCTGTAGCAAGAATTAATGGAGATATTCCACACCTCACGGGGTGTGAGAACAGTGTTTAGTAAAGGGGAACAGCTATGATTTTTTTTTTCAAGGTATGAATTTATTCTTCAGCTTCAGAATGTAGGTCTGAGCTGTTCTGCGTAGTCTCTGTGGGAGCCTCTACCACAGGGAGGCTGTGTGAAGTGCTGTCTTTCTGTGTCCCTGGGGCTTGCTTCTGCCCTGGGTCACCACGCCTCCTCACTCCTGAAAACAGACTCCGTTCGCATGGCCTGGTTTTACAGAGGGATTCACGGTCATATCTGTGTTGGGATTTCTTGCCTCTGACAAAATCAAATCCCTGTGGAGGGTCAGATCTCTGTTCTTCCCAGAGAGGGCCCAGGCCTTGAGTGCTTGAGCTGCACTTAGGAGCAGTGGCTGGTGAATTTTTCCACTGTGTCAGTGAGTGTGGCCTCGGGCC